AATTCAGATGCATCAACTTGGCTTTGGTCTTACCCATTGCCCAGCATTGCATACTTGGGGAGTTATTGAAGATACCACGGCTTGAGTCAGACACACCTTAGTCCCCAAAGTGGCATCTTGGCTTTTTCAAATGATAAAGAAGTTTTTTTGCAGCAGGCGTACCCAACGCAGTATGTCATTTGCTTTCTTGACTGCTGTTTCCATGACTGTTGATTGTGGGTGGATTCAAGTAAAAATGAAATAAATATCCCCCCCCTTTTATCAAACCCATACCTTTTCAACCTGTATGCAGAACAGATTATCTGGGTGACTGGGCTCTATGAGGAGAAATGTGGCATCAGGATTGGAGGAAGATTCATCAACAGTCTGCATTATGCAACCCTGCTTGTTGAAACTGAGGAGGACCTGAAACACTTGCTGCAGAGGGTCAAGGACCACAGCCTTCAACATGGATTGAGGCTCAATATAAAGAAAACAAAGATTCTCACCACTGGGCCAGTTGGCAGCATCAGGATGGAGGGTGAAGAGATCAAGATTGTTAACAGCTTTAGTTTGCTTGGCTCCACAGTCAACACTCTTGGCACCGGCAACCAGGAAATTAAAGGACATGTTGCAATGGGAAAGTCCATTATTAGGGACCTCTCTAAAGTACTGAAGAGCATGGTGTCAGTCTGGAGACTAAGGTGTGCCTGATAAAGGTCATAGTCTTTGCAATCACTTGTTATGCATCAGAGAGTTGGATAATGACTAGGGAGGGTAGAAGGAGAATTGATGCCTTTGAGCTGTGATGTTGGAGAAGAGTATTGAATATACCATAGACTGCTAAGAAAATGAACAGGTTCATCCTGGAGAGAGTTAAACCAGGCTGCTCCTTGGAGGCAAGGATTCTGAAGCTTTGTCTGACATATTTTGGACATATTGCAAGGAGGGACCAGTCCTTGGAGAAGGACGTCATACTTGGGAGGGTGGAGGGACAGTGCAAGAGAAGAAGGCCCTCTATGAGGTGGAGTGATTCAGTGACTGGGGTAATCGGGATGGGTGTGTCAGAGACAGTTAGATTGGCATGGGTTAGAGTAGAGTTTAGGGCTGTTGTACACAGGGTCGCTGAGTCCCAGGCGACTTGACTGCATGTTAATAACAACAACAAACAACATCAAACTCTAAGAGCAGTTCTACTGTGTCTTACTAAGTGTTGCTATAAAGCTGCAGTTAACTTGATGGCAGTTGTTGTTAGGTGCTGTCGAGTCAACTCGTAGACTCTGGGAACAATAGTCCTGAACTCTGTGCCCTCATGATCGTCTCTGACATACTTGAATCCATCTGCTTGAGAGTAGGCTAATAGAGAATTCAGGGCGGTGAGGGTCACACTAGACCCTGGGCTGGTCAGGGCACATGTGGTCCTGAGGGTTTATGTGTGGAGGGTGGAGTGAGAGGAGCGCATGTGTCAGGAGACCCTGCAGTCCTTGCATATGTGACTGGGCCTCTCTGAACTCCTGCCCCCCCCCAACCCCCCTTCATCCTGTTTCTCCATCCCTCTGCATTCCCCAGGGGCCACAGCCTGGAATCCCTTGGAGGAGGGTAGGGGCTGTTGTCAGGTTCCAGGTCAGCCACAGGCCGTCACCAGCTCCCCACTCTCCACATCCCTGCCCCTCCCTCCTCCGCTCCAGCCCCTCTTTGCCTCTCCGCAGCCTCCCAGCCTCTCTGCACCACTGCTGTCACTGAGTCAATTCCCTGGAATAATCGCATTTTCCAGTCGACTCCCTCCTCCCAGCTAAGCACGTTGCCCGGAAACCTCAACCAGCCAGGCCTCAAGAGGTTTCTCCAGAGGGGCTGGAGACCTGAGGAGAGCTCAGCACCCTCACTTCGCCTGGCCCCAGACAACACGGTTCCTGGAGGGGTGGGGTAGGGAAGGGAAAAGAAAGCATGAGAATGGAGAGGGGGCTGTCATCTCCAAGCTGCTACTCCCCTGCCCAGCTCTGGAGGGGAACCATGGAGGGTCAGGTCAGGGAGGGGAGCAGACTGTTCCTTGGAGGATAGGTCAGAGAAAAGACCCTTGGGGAAGAGTGGGTCTAGAGTGTGGCACCAGCCAAACTATTCGGTCAGTACACAGGGATGTTGTTGTGGCCTACTGGTAAGGAGCTGTTCTGTCAACCCAAAGGCACATGGTTTGAATCCACCAGCCGCTTCATGGGAGAAAGATGGGTCATCTCCTACAGTCTTTGAAAAGCTGCTGGAGAGCAAGTATAAGTCGTTTCTGACCTGATGGCAAATAACAGTAACAACAGCAACAGCATGGCCTGGAAATGAAGAATATGGTGTCAGGAGTTCTCTGAACTTTATCTGTAAAATGGAACACCTTTGGGAGCTGCTTTTTGTTTGAAATTCAGAGTAATTCGTGGCACAGGATGATTAGTCTTATACATTCTAGAGTTCCAGAATTCTAAAGTTCAGATCTGTTGTTGATAGGGTCACCATGAGCCATGGTTGACTTGATGGCACCTAGTAACAGCTACTACCATGAAGCGGGATGTAACACAGCCATTAAGAAACCAGAAGTTTAGGATGGGTGTCTAGGACATCTGAATAAACCACCAAGCTTACTGCTAGTGAGTTGATTCTAACTCTAGAGTGACCCCATGGGACAACGGAGAACTCCCCACAGGGCTTCCAAGGCGGTAAATCTTCAGGCAGCAGACTGCAGCATCTCCCTCCCGAAGAGCAGAGGGGGGAATGGGTTCAAATCACTCACCTCAAGGTCACCAGCCAAATGCTTTACCCACACCACCACCACCATGGCTCCTGTTTAGGACCTAGGAAGTGGGAAAAGCTCCTTGTGGAAAAGGAAACCTGTGTGGCAGAGCTCTGCACCTGGGGTCCATACTTCACATGGATCAGGAAGGCCCTGAAATTATCCTTAGAATTTGGTGGGAATGCCTTTCCTCCTCCCTCTCCTGGGGAGAGAGGTCAAAAACATCACCAGATTGTCACAGGCATTCGTTAACTCATTGTGTTGGTGTTGTCGAGTACCATAGAGTAGGACTTGACCCATAGCTGACCCTCCAGCAGGATTTCAGAGGCAGTTAATCTCATGGGAGGAGACTGGCCATCCTTTGGGCAGCTGGTAGCCTCGAACCACATGCCTTAGGGATTGTAGCACAGCTTCTTGCCACTAGGCCACCAGAGCTCCCCTTTTTGTTACTCAGATTAAAATCCACTGGCATTTTTGCTTCTTGGCCTTTTTGCTAAAATGTCTCCTCACTCATTACTGTCCAGTTGGGTTCTATTCATAGCCGACCCTCCGTTAGGTTTCCAAGGCTGTAAATCACGGGGGAGGAGGCTGCCCATCTTTGTCCTGCTGAGATTCAAACCTCCAGAGAAGAGCAGCTTTTGAGCGTGAGCTGACAGCAAAATTCTCAATGGACAATCATGGTCAACAAAATTGTTAAGGAGCTCTGACAACTTAGAGTTGCACTGCTGGCCCAGAGCTGTGTGCATCTGGAGGTTCAAAGCCATCAGATACTCAGCAGGACAAAGATGGACCATCACTCCTGGTAAGACTTAACCGCTTCTAAGGCTGGATCAACACCAAGTGCTTAGCGCTCTTTAGATGCTGACAAATAAAAAGGGCCCAGAGCTAAACATTTTATTTTTTTTAAAATTTATTTTATTTCATTATTTTTTGTGTGTACCGTCAAATCAGATCTGACTGATAAAGGAGGAGATTGCTCCTCCGTCTCCAGCAGAGCATCTGGTGGATTTGAACGGTGTATCTCTGAGATTGCAGTGCAGCTTCTTGCCACTAGGCCACCAAAGCTCGCCACATTTTATTTTTTTTTTTAATATAACCATATACTTTGGAGAGCTCTGCAGGACTAGCGGGTAGGAGTTGCACTGCCAACCCAAGATAACTGTTTGGAAACTACCAGCTGCTGAGAGAAAGATGGACAATCACCTCCCAGTCAGTTTACAGCTGTGGTCAGCTACAGGTTGGTCAGACTTGGTAGCAATGAGCTTACATGTGTATATACATATATACGCATATATGTGTATATAGACATATATAAGGGAGGTCTGGTGACTTACTGTGTACATATACATATATTTATGTGTATGGTGTACACACACACACACACGCACACGCATATTTAAGGGAGCTCTGGTGGCCTACTGGCAAGAAGCTGTGCTGCAGTACTAAAGGCATGCAGTTCAAATCCACCAGCTGCTCCATGGGAGAAGGATGGGCAATCTCCTCCCTTTGAATTTACTGCCTCTGGTTTAGTGAGTAGTGTGTGTGTGTGTAGGAAGCTCGTGAGTTGTGTGTGTGTGTGTGTGTGTGTGTGTGTGTGTGTGTGTGTGTAGAGAGCTCTGGTGGCTTAGTAAGGAGCTGGGCTGCTAACACACACTTGAACCGTGGGAATGATCTGCGAGAAAAAGATGGGTGGTGTCCTCCTATGTGAATATTGCCTCTGATAAACCCACTGGAGGGACAGCGAGGGCCGGTTCCAATTCGAAGGTGTGTTAACAACATACATACACAGATGTACCGCGAGGTGCCATGTAGCTCCACCTCCTGGTGAAGCTCCCGGAACGAAACAAGGCCACATCAGCTCCGTCCTCACCCTCCTGCTGGGCTGGAACCCATGGTTATTCGGCATAGGCTTATTGTACAAAAAGGGACAGGAAGCACCTATATGCTATTTAGAAACTGATGTTTTAAATTGGGGTCTCTTTCTGATCTTCCTTTGCTTAAATCAATAGTTAAATGCCCTGCACAACTTGGTAGCCTGCTTTTTCCTCATTAATGTTATGTCATAAGCATTTTTTCCAAGCCAATCAAAAAGTCGCCATTTCAGTAGTGTGTTATGTGAACTATGAGAAAGAATGTTCAGAGGGCTGAACACCAGACCAGCGGCCGCGCACTGCCCCGCCGCCTCGTCCTGGGTCTGACGCTCGCTCTGTCTGTCTCCCTCCCGCCCCCCGCCGGTTCCCGCGGGCCACAGACAGCGAGCTGGTCCTCCCGGACTGCCTCCGGCCGCGCTCCTTCACCGCCCTGCGACGGCCATCGCTGCGCCGGGACGCCGACGAGGCGCGACTCTCCGTGAGCCTGTGTGACCTCAACGTGCCGGGGCCCGAGGGCGACGAGGGCGCACCGGCCGCCGGCTGCCCGATCCCGCAGAACTCGCTCAACTCGCAGCACAGCCGCGCGCTGCCCGCGCAGCTCGATGGCGACCTCCGCTTCCACGCGCTGCGCGCTGGCGCGCACGTCCGCATCCTGGACGAGCAGACGGTGGCGCGCCTGGAGCACGGGCGCGACGAGCGCGCGCTCGTCTTCACCAGCCGGCCAGTGCGTGTGGCCGAGACCATCTTCGTCAAGGTCACGCGCTCCGGGGGCGCGCGGCCCGGCGTGCTCTCCTTCGGAGTCACCACGTGCGACCCCAGCACCTTGCGGCCGGCGGACCTGCCCTTCAGTCCCGAGGCGCTGGTGGACCGGAAGGAGTTCTGGGCCGTGTGCCGCGTGCCCGGGCCCCTGCACAGCGGCGACATCCTGGGTCTGGTGGTCAATCCCGACGGCGAGCTGCATCTCACCCACAACGGCGCCGCCGGCGGCATGCAGCTGTGCGTGGACGTCTCGCAGCCGCTCTGGATGCTCTTCAGCCTGCACGGGGCCGTCACGCAGATCCGCATCCTCGGTGAGTGTCCCCGTGGGCCTACCAGTCTCCTCTGACACCTGGGCAGGGGCTGGGGGCCTGGACACTCGAGGCTGGCTCTCACCTGCCCTCCTCAAGGCCAGAGACCCAGCATCACGTCTTCCCTGGAGGTGGGAGATGGGGCCAGCTGGTGAAGGAATATCTGGTGACCCTCCTTCCCTATGCCCAGCATCCTAGGGGCTTGCCAAAACTTAATGGAACCAGAAAGTTTTTTCTACTCTATGCTTGATCTTGCAGTAGTTTTTGTGGTGTCCCATCGAGTCTAAACCAACCCATAACTGACCCTCCCGCGGGTCTTCAGAGGAGGAGATTGCCCATCTTTTCCCCATATAGCAGTTGGTGGACTCGAACGGCTTACCTTTACAGTGGCAACTAAATTCTACCAGAGCTCCCAGTTAAGTGGCTTTCAAATCTCCGAAAATGCACCGTTTCATCTTTGGGAGGAGGAAAGTGAGGCTTGAATTTCACTCTCAGCTGATTGACCAACATTCCCACAGATACATAAACAGCCTAGATACACAATCCCTGGAGGCCATTTACGAGAAGGCAAAGAGGAGGTTTTTCTACCAGCAATGAATTTTTTGAGGCAGGATTTGTATTTTCTCTAAAATGGAAATAAAAGTCTGCCTCTTAGTGTGGTCCTGAGTTTCTCAAACATCTCTGTGTGTGCAGGGCATTCTGTGGAGGCCTGTGAGAGAACCACAGGTGAGTCAGGAAGTGTGCTGTGTAACGGAGGAGTCCAAGAACAGACACCACCTTGGCCTTGTGGCTGTTTTCCTTTATGTGTGGTTGGGAGTAGTCTGCCCAGAGCAAGGAGTTGAGAATCCCCCACGGGCTCTCTGGACAGAGGACTTTGGAGGCCAGGCCGCCCTGCATCAGCTTGTTCCCCTTCATGTGGATGTACTGTACCTTTTAGACCCCCAGTAAGGAAGAAGGAAGGAAGGAGAGAAGGAGGTGGGAGAGGGATGGAGGGAAGGAGAGAGTGGAAGGCTGTAGGACCAGAGGAGCATGGCAGGTGGTGCAGAGCATTTCAGAGGCTCCAGTGCTGAGGAGAAGGTGGTGTCAGGGACTGTGAATAGGGATGCCAGGGCTCTGAGAAGAAGGGGTGTAGCTAGGATGAGAAGGAGCCTTGTCAGGCTGGGATGGTAACTTTACTTGCTGGCAGGAGGGCACTTTGAAGGTGAAGGATACCTGGGATGGGGTGGAGATCGGAGCTTAGGCAGGGCACAAGTTTGGAGACTGCTGATAGAGTAAGAGCATGGGAAGAACTTGCAGGAGTGAACAGAGAGATAGGAACAGGGCACCAGACCCATCTGTGAAGCCCTGCCCTGAGCCTGTGGCTGGGATGCCTGGCCCAGCAATGCCACTGCTGTCTCCTGGGAACCCACTGTCCAGGGAGGAGAGGCCCTCGGCTCTGAGTGGCCCTTGGCTCTGAGTAGTTAGTGTTTCTTTCCATTCACAGGCTCCACCATCCTGGCTGAGCGGGGCATCCCATCTCTCCCCTGCTCTCCCGCCTCCACGCCCTCTTCACCCAGTGCCCTGGGCAGCCGCCTATCTGACCCCCTGCTCAGCACGTGCAGCTCTGGACCTCTGGGTAGCTCTGCTGGTGGTACGTTTGCTGCCTGTGTCCCCCCACCCCACGTCTCGTTCCATGGTGACTACCCCACCCCCATGGTCAGGCAGGGATGCAGCCTTTGGGGTTAGGAAGAGCTAAGCCTGGCTCTGCGAACTCTTACTCATTTCCGGGATAGATCCCATCCTGTCCCCGCCTCCACAGCACCCAGCGAGGGGGCTCCTGTCTTACATTCTAGCTCCCTGCCTGTCTCCAGTCTGCTTTTCATTTCCCCCCCTCCCACTGGCTTATGACCACTCTTGCCCCTGATAAGGGGATGAGGGGGCCGGAAGTGGGATGCCCCAGAAGTACATCTTCTCCTTTCTCTTGCCTAAGAAGTGAGGTCATCGGGGTAAACAAGGAGATTCTCAGCAAATGCAGGTAGCACAAGAGAGTAGTGGGTCTTCTCTGGGCCTGGTTGAGCCCCGACTCCTCCTGACTGACGTCCCCTTGTTCCTAGGCACAACCCCCAACTCACCAATGAGCTTGCCTGAGTCACCCCTGACCCCAGGCACGGGCCAGTGGAGTGATGAGTGCACCATTTGCTATGAGCACGCAGTGGACACGGTCATCTACACGTGTGGCCACATGTGCCTCTGTTACGCCTGCGGCCTGCGTCTCAAGAAAGCTCTGCACGCCTGCTGCCCCATCTGCCGCCGTCCCATCAAGGACATCATCAAGACCTACCGCAGCTCCTAGCCCAGTGCGGCGCCCTGCCTCGCCCGCCCAAATCCTCAAGACTCTGGTTCAGCTCCAGCCAAGGGCCATGCCAAGAGGGCCTTCTCCTCTTCCTCATTCTGGAAACTTTTCTCCTCTCCATTAAACATGGGAACCTGGGCCCCTCAAGGTTTGCAGAGGGAGTATCAGGCAGGGTGGTGGGGCTTTAAGGCAGAGGCGTGGAGAGGAGGCCCGTCCTTCGTCCTTCGCCGTCTCTGATCCTACTCTTCCTGAATGCAGAGGGGCTGAATTAGAGCCGCCTCATCTGGGCTGATTTCTCAGAGGGCCTCTGGTCTGCGGGGCACCTTTGTGAGGAGGAGAAAAGGGGCCCTTCCTTGGGGCCGCTGTGGCTTGGCTAGTGGAGTACTGACTGTATTTCAGCTTCCCTCCGCTCCCTCCACCATCCGTCCTTGAGCAGAGTACAACCTGCACAACGACACCCTGGGCAGGCCGCTCCTGGGCTGCTTTTTGGCCCTCTCACCTCTGCCACCCCCTCCATTCTTTCTTCCTTGGCCCTTGGGCCTGACATTCAGAGATCAGTGGGTGCCCTTTACCCCAGATAGGCTGCAGTCTCCATGTCTCTCCTACCTGCCTGAGACGGGTGGACGGAGAGACTGCAGAAGGCTCCGGATTCCAGGCGCCTGTCCCATTGCCCTGACTGGGATGCGAAGGCCCCTTCCCACTGGAGCCTTTCTGTCCTTATCTCACTGGCCGCCATGGCCAGGGGAGGCTGTCTGGTGCACAGGAGCCGGGTCTTTCTCTGCCCTAAGAACAGGTTTGTGACCACCTCTCTGATCTGGCCTCCCACATCTCAGTGCTGCCCTGGTTGAGGCTCAGGGTAACTGTCGCCCCCTCGGGAAGGGACCAGGCCCTGGTTGGTGGAGAGAAGATCAGCTTTTGCCCTTATTTTAATTTATTTATTTATTAGATCTGTGGGGTGGATATTTTTGGTGGTGGGGTGGTTGTTTTGTTTGTTTTTTAAAAGAATTGAGTTTCCAAAATGCTGCCCTCACAGGGGTGGGTGGGTGGGTGCTGAGCTGGGGCATCAGAGGTGTAGTCATCGTTCAACATCTTCCCAACTCCAGCCACTAGGCCTGTCGCTGGCCCTATGCACGGTGAATTAGAACTCCAGCATGGATTGGAATTAGAAAAAGGGGCCCAGTTGGGAGACTTGATGAATTGTGTCCACACTGTGTGACACGCTGAACCCCGTTGGTGCCCTGGAGCTGATGGACCACCAGAGCCACAAAGCACCTTCTTCCCTGGGCAGGAGCAAAGTCCTGATGGTGGGGTCCCAGGTGTCAGTGTGGGGCTGGGGAATAGGCCAGAGAGCTGCTGGGAGGGGGGCAGGTGAGAAAATAGGAAGGCCTCAATATCCCTGGGCCCTTGTTCTCTGTCCTGAGGCAAAGGAGAGCCCTCTCCTTTCAGGCCATCATCATGGCCCTGCCTGCCTTGTCCTCACTGACTGGGGCTGGTTTCAGCTGTTGCCACCCTCTTCCTCAGCGGCTTTTCCAGTGCTCATCAAAGGCTGCTGTTCCCTGTGTGGGGCTGGTGGCCAGGCCATGAGGACTCTGGTCTTGTCCACGCACCAGTTACGTGGCACTGGCACAGTGGAAAGCCTCTCTGAGCCCCAGCTTCCCCCTCAGTAAGATGGTTGTGGGGTGTTGGGCTGGCTGCAAGACTATGGCGAGTTCTTTGGGAGAGGCTGCAGTGGGGTGCAGCAGAGCACTGGGGGTCAGGACCAGACCTTGCAGGGACATCATGATTGCACTGTGGGCCTCTTCTCTAAGGGAGCCCCCCCTCCCGTTGTCTATGTGTATGGGGTTGAGTAGTGCTCCCAAGTGGCCGGGGGGTCTCTCCTCAGAGGCAGTGAACATTCTCAAAGGCCTTATGGGCTGAGGGTGGAGAAGAGGAAGCCATGCATCTCATCTCTCAGTGTAGGGGGCTACCCCCGCCTCCCTTTGTGAACTCGGGTCTCTGTGATTGTTAATAAAGGTGATTTCGTACCAGCATACGGGCCGTGCTGTGCCGTGGAGTGGCGGGGAGGGATGGCCGGTGTGTGGAGGGTCAGGTGCCCCTCCCCAGAAGCATGGACCTGGCCTCTGAGACAATTGTGGCTCCTGAAGCTGACCAATCTGGGAAGCCCCCCTAGGTTGGGGACTAGAACATGACCTGGCCTGGACAGACACAGCATGGGGATGTTGTGTGCTGAAGAGGAGAAGCCATAGCCTCTGCGATGGCCTCTGGAACCTGAGCCAGGTGTGATGGAGCAGGTGCTGCCGAGTCCACGAGGATCTCTGCTCCCCCTTAGCGCTGAGCTGTGCCCCTGGCGGGGCAGGCAGTGCCATCTAGGGGCCAATGGCGGAATGGCAGGTCCTCTGAGGTCAGCAGGAGCTGCTCTCATTTCCCCTGGGGAGGGCCAGCCTGCCTTTGTCCCCACGCTCAGACTCCTGCTTCTGACTGGGGGCTTGGCTGCTGGAGGTCTACACCAAACATGACACAGCTGGGGAAGAAGGGTGAGACCTTGACGGAAACTTGGGGACATTTCTAGAAATGCTGAGTACATCTGGGTGGCATAGGAGGTGATGGTCCAGTCTGGAGTATGCTCCTGGCCCTGGGTCTGCGCAGTGGTGAGGGCTGATGCCCGCCTCTCCCTGCCCGCCACCCCGAACCTTCTGGCTTTCTGGCTTCTGCTTTCACGCTTCCTGGCTGCTCTGCCTCTGCCAGGACCAGTAACTGCCAGGATGCAGATAGGGCTGCATCTCTCAAAGCCTTGGCTACTGCCTGGAACCTCTTCCTGAAGCTGGGAACGGGAGGGAGGAGTCAGCATGATTCTTGCCCCAAACAGTGAGGACTTAACCAGCCATTAACAAAAGTCCTGTGAAGCAGGTCTCAGGACATTGGGGTTCACAGGGTGGAGCAGGTCCCGGGACCCTGGGGCTCACAGCATAGAGGACCTGAGACCCTGGGGTTCACAGCGTGGAGCAGGTCCCAGAACCCTGGGGCTCAACAGCATGGAGGACCTGGGACCCTGGGGCTCACAGCATGGAGCAGGTCCCGGGATCCTGGGGCTTACAATGTGGAGTAGGTCCTGGGACCCTGGGGTTCATACCGTGGAGCAGGTCTCGGAACCCTGGGGCTCACAGCATGGAGGACCTGGGACCCTGGGGTTCACAGCGTGGAGCAGGTCCCGGGATCCTGGGGCTCACACTGTGGAGTAGGCCCCAGGACCCTGAGGTTCACAGCATGGAGGAGGTCCTGGACCCTGAGGCTCACATCGCCTCTGGGATAATGTGACTCTCCCTCTTCAGTTGGCTGGGTTTCCTGGTAGCAGTTGAGAATTAAGAAGTGAGTCTGCTCCATTAAAAAGGCAAAAACTTTATTTGGTTTTCAGGGAAATAGAAGATGCATGTAAACACGAACAAAATACAAAACAAAACAACTCAAATCTTACAACAGTCTAGAAGCATGCCAAGACAGAGCATTTTCTGCAAACCAAAGAGTCCCGTCAGCATCAGACAGGACACCTGGGAAATGGCAGGCCAAGGGGCTGGTGCCTTCCCCAAGGATGCCACATTTTTGTGAGGAGAGCAAATTTTCTTTTTTTTAAAAAAAATCACTATTAAAAATACTAAAAACATGGAGACTGTTTAGCACCACCACGGGTCCTATCATGCTCAAACTGACCACAGTGCATCCAGTGTCCTTTTCTCCAGAGTCCCTGGAGGGAAGGCTCCTCTTGACCTCATAGAGCATAGGTCCTTTCCAACCATGCCAGGCTGCTAGGAGCTGGGAGGGGTGGAGTGTACCAGGAGGGAACCCCCTCCCCAAAGTCTTGGATCCCAGATATTCATGAGTTCCCATTTAGCCATGCAATCCACACTCATGCTTCAGGGACCTGCCACTCACACCTGCCTTGCTCAGAAGCCTGCAGGCCTGGCAGCGTGAGGCCATTTCCCATCCTGTGCCCTGGATTATAACCTGCTGCAAAACTAACATGGAAATTCAAGAACAGTGGCTCCATTTGCATTTCTTAAAAACAAAACTTTTAAAAACAGTGTGCCTTGATTACAGGCCACCAGAAAAGGAAAGACCTATGGATGAGCTTGCCTTTCACCCAGGTTTCAGGAAAGCAGGCTGAGCGAACAGATGAACCACACAAGTAGCCTGCAGAATAGCTGGCACCAACAGAAGAACAAATGAAGTCATCTTCCTCTCACACCCACCTGATGGAGCTTGGAGCCCACGGTGTCAGGTTGAGGACAATGGGCCCATACTACATCGTGGTCACTGGGTCTCCAACTCAAACGATTTTGTAACGGGACAGTCAATTGGCAAGAAAAAAGCCTGCTGGGCCCCTGGGAGATAAACGGCTTCTGGAGCTAAGGCCTTCCAACTCTGCTGTGCACTGGGATGATCCTGCTGACTGGCTCCCTCCGTTAGAGAAGTCAATGGCCATACACCAGAGACCCAGCTTGTGGCCAGTGGATAGCAGTTTTCTCCGGCCAGCTGATTAAATGGCCAAACTTTGGGGTCTTTCCCAACCTGCTTTGGCTGGACCCTTTTAGGCCTGAATTACTCAATTCCAGCCAACCTTCTCTCTTCTTCCTGAAACACTCCACTAATTCCTTCTTAAAAAGACCTAAGTCCAAACCCTCCAAGCCTTCACATACTACTTCTTTCCTGCCCAAAAGACATCCTTTTCTGGAAGCCGTCTTCCCAGTGAAGGGACAGTAAGCCCCAGCCACCTGAAACATCCACACACTCATCTCACTGACATGCCTCTTGCTCGCCTGCAACATACTCATTCAACCTTTTGCTCTGAAACTGCAGACCTTCCCCCCTCTCACCTCCTGAGGCCCAGCCCATTAGCCAGGATGGAACTGGGAGCGAGACTAGAACCATCAACATGAGATCTCAGCCTCTCGGACCACTAAGCTCTAGGATTTGGCTAGGGGCGGGGACTGATTGCCAAAGTCAAGTGCAAGCTCAAGATTAAAGATCAGATGTGGGTTACATGGTGGTTCCAAACTTGGCTGAGATCAAGGCCTTGGA